AAAGTGACAAAATTTCTAGAAAAATAACATTAACATACCTGAAAACAGAAAAGCAGAAAAGTCCTCATGGGATTGCTCTTTCCCCATAACAAAAAAGGCAGATGACAAAGAAAAATGCAAAACACATTAAGGGAAGGGTGGGGCTGTGTGGAGAAAATGCTAGTACAATAGCTTCAAGGCATTTAGGAAACGTGACAAAGCTTGTATGCATGGGAGGCAGTAACACCAACACAGGAGCTTCCCTGAGCTCCTCTTCTCCTCCTTCCACTGTGGACAGGAAACATTTAAGGGTCTACTGGAGTAGCTGTAGCTGCTGGACTCTGTAGGCCAAGTTGCTTGGTTCAGATTCAAAACTGCAACTCTATTAATAGTGACAATATTGCTGTGAAAGTCTCTGACACAGTTGTAGGAAAGGAGCCCAAACATCTACTGAATTGATGGAAGGCACTCCTTCAAGAGAGTAGTAAACCATATTCAAGAGACATATTAGCGAAAACAGAGCTACAAAACAAGCATAGTCTCCCATCCCAGCACAGGTCACTCAGTAAAGCTTTAAGTTCTGTGTTTATATATTCAGGAACTGTTTGTGTGACACAATACATGAATATTTTGATCATTATTCTGTGTGAGACCTCAGATATCTTGTTTTCTATTTTCTTGGTGAATATCTTATGTCATCAATGATATCCTTCCATTTTGAACTATAATGGAACATTGTGAGCATTAAGTCTAATTTTCTAAGTGGCCATCTAGGTACTGGATGGTTCCAGGAAAAATATCCACTTAAAGATTTTGTTCCATGCCTTCTATGAACTTAACAACATGCACTCTTGAAAAGAGTTTAGAAATGTTATGAGGAAAAACACATACAAAAGTAATAACTGAGAAAGTATGCTGGTAGGCCTTCAGTATAGCTTAGTAAAAGAATATGTTTCAATCCTATATAAGACCCTGGGTTTAATCAACAACCATAAAAATATAAAAAAGGAAAGCATTCTTCTTACTAACTAGATTTTATATTAAGTGGCATTTTGCATATAAAAAAGTAATAAGAACTGTAATAATGTAATGATAGTAACATTATCCACAGTTGAAAGGTATATGAGATTTTATTAAAATATTTTACATGGTTTTTAAAATTAATATATTGTAACAAATGCCATCTACCTTGGTGTTACTGCATGCTGCAGTTAATACTTCTGGCATTTTAATAATATACTAACATTTCACTTAAAATTGTACAATAGTCAGGCTTTGCTGTTAGATATGTTTCTGTTTGCATAAGTTTGCAACCTCAAAGTGTAGCAAATGGGAACAGAACCAAAAATTCATGCTACACACATATTTCATAGTGTGTTTATTTGTTGACCTCTTGACAGCCTTTGCACAATTTACTCATTAATTCATCCATTTTTTAACTCTGTAAAATAATTTGACAGCTATTTTGTTTTCATTTTTAGGTGCTAAGAATGAGTGTGAAGTGTCTACACTGAGGACAGTCACATGTGAAAAGCAGTTGTGGCCTTCATCTTGGTTTTTCCAGTCAAATTGCTTTCATACTCACTCAATCGAACAGGCTCTTCTATGTTCACAACCAAAAAATCACAATCAAAACTTGTGAACAGAGATGTATTGCAGTATGTACAGTCATGTGTGATAATACACACCCCACAGGGCAAAGACCATAGAGAATGTCAGGTGTTTTATCTATCCCTCTGTTCCATTTCCTTGAGCTAGGATATCCCACTGTGCCTGGAGCAGAGCTGGTGGCCAGCAAGCCTCAGTGATTTTCCAGTCTCCACTTCCCTTCCCCCCCAGCACTGGTGTTCCAGACACACACCATCATGCCCTGTTTCTTATAAGTTCTGTGGATTTGAACTTAGATCCCCATGGTTGTGAAGATTTGGCAGGACATAAACCCCAACAAGCCAGGCCCCTCACGTTACAAGTATCTGCTCCATCACAAGCTTCAAGGATGAAGCATGATCTAGACAAGCAAGAAATGAAGCAGTGTAGTGATATTTATTCTATTTTAATAAATAAAACTTACCTGCAGTTCATAGATGCAAAGCAGACAATCTCTATAAAATTTTCAGACTGAAAAGAGAGTAAGTTCCTGTCTCATACCACTTTATATTTGTCTCTAGTGTTAGGATGAAAGGCGTGCACCACCAACTCCCCAGCCTCTATGGCTAACTAGTGTGGTTGCTAGGACTAAAAGTGTGTGCCACAACTGCCTAACCTGTATGACTGACTAATGTGACTGGCTTTTCACTCTTCAGGAATGTTTTATTTATTAAAACACAAATAAAATATCACTATATTTCCCATTTTTGTCTAAATTTTAAAAAGGCTATAACTAACATATGATCAAAATACATGTATTAAACTTTCAAAGAACTAACAAATAAGCTTAAAGACACATAATGACATTTTGTTGTACTGAACTTTCAAAGAACTAACAAATGACTTTAAACACTCTAATGACTTGTTACTATATCCATAGATCATAGCATATTTAACCCCCCCATCAGAGAAGCTTCTCCTTGTGGTAAATGACAATGAATATAGGAACCCTCACTTGCCCATTTGTACAGAACAAAAGACTGGGGACTTCCCAGCTCTAAAATGAGTGTGTTAACTTTACCTAAGGAAACAATTCTGGAGACAGTTCAAGGAGTAAGAATTCTATCACAAGGGAAATCTTTTTCACCCAGTAATACCCAAATCATTTTCAAGTCCTATAAAAACTTTGGCAGATTTTCCAAAAAAATATATATTCTCACACTAACTGGGTGAAAAGCATGCTCAGTAGTAACTAAGCCTGTGTTACTAGTTATGATTAATAATCTCCTGACAAAAAGTTCTAGCAATATCGTTTTTGGGTGGACAGTGAAGTCCTATTTCCTTTTTGTTCTTTTTTTTTTATTTTTGAGAGTTTAGTATATTTGTATCATTTCTATGTCCATTTCCTCTGTCTGGACTCTCCCATATACTTCTTCTTGTTCTCTTTCAAATTCATGACCTTTGTTCCATAATGTTTATACACACACACAAACAAACCTTTCAATCTGAATGATATTCTACTGACTTTTACATTCTGTGGACCACGTTAAGGAGGAATACAAGATTAACTAAGACAAGACCTTAGTTCAATGCTAGTTTCACGTAAATTAACACTACTATTCCAAAAAAAAAAAAAACCATGAATTATGCACTGTATGTCCTCACCAAGAGTTCCAGACTTCAACCTCTGGTCCTGAAGGCAAAGCTGAATTCTGACTTACTAGCATGCAAATGAAGACATACTCTTTTTTTTACTTTTTACAAGCATTTTCCAGTGTCTAGCCTCTTTGAAATTTGAGTTGATGAAGTATGTCATTCAGCAAAGCTTTAAAAGTTTTAAAGTTACGAAGTATTTTTAAAAAAAAAAAAAAAAAGAAAGAAAGAAAGAAAGAAAGAAAGAAAGAAAGAAAGAAAGGTGAATGTAAGAATTGGTGAGCTTCAGTCCTCAAGCGGTATCATAAATGGTCCTTCAACATCAGGAATTTGTTTCAGCAGATAAATTGGATTCAGGTAACAGAGTTTTTTCTTTCTAATGTGTCTTGTTGTCTATAGAATCTCCTTGGAAAAACCCTCTTCTCTACAATTATCTGTTGGTAATTAACGTCTAATAATGTCATTGTATTTAGCCAAGAAGCACACTTAGATACACACACACACACACACACACACACACACACACACACACAAATCCAAGGCTGAGAACAAGACACCATTCAAGGAAACATAGCTATGATCATTGAGCTAGAATCCCACTATGTATGGCAGTAAATCTAGTGTGTTGATGAAGTGAAAGCTCATAACAGACATGAATCTTGCTAGAAGTGTTCTCTGTAATTATTTGAAGTTACACTAAAAAAGTCTGCTGAGTGCCGTGTTCTGTGGTTTCCCAGTGCCATGGCAGCACAGTAGAAGGAAAGTGGACAAGCTACTATCTTCATACTGAAAAACTTTCTTTGAGATTTGTGTTTTAGTGAAAGTTGTGCTGTGTATTTTTTTGCCCTGTGGGTTGTATTGTGTTTGAAATGTTACTATTATGCAATTTACATTTTATATCTCATTGATATTTACTATATCTATTTATTTTCACCAAGAAATCTATACTTTGACTTTTATCTAGCTTTTCTTTTCCAGAGCTTCATCTTTGACTGTTAGTATTACACAGTCATAAGTTTCATATTTAAAAATTCATTCAACTGCAGATTTTTCACAAAGCATTTCTCTTAGCACTGAATTATTTTCTTATTATTTCCTAAGCAACAGGATAGCAAACAACTATAGACAGTACAATTTTTTTGTATTCCAATTCAGTCCTTTAACCTCTATTGAAAAAATGAATTTATATAATAATATTCTAAAACTAATCTGAAATTTTCAAATGTCAATGAGCTATATATAAGTACTATATCATCCTCCTCTTATTACACATATACACATTTTATAACATATTTGCCCCATCAAATTTTCTCTGAAAGACATGCAGAAAATATATTCCACATTTTTTCAATGTGCAAACAAATGAATAAACAATATTCAAAAAGAAAAATCTTGATAAAATATACCTAGTAATCTGAAGGGTTTCCTTCTAAAGATTCACAGAATTGTTATGACAGATTTAGCATCACTGAACACAGGCCACATGAATACATACACACATGTACTTTATATATTAACAAAAATCATTTTAAAATGTCAAAATAATTAATTCTATATAGAAAAATTATATTTTTCTAATATTATATCTTCATATATTTATTTAGTCCATATTCATATTTATCCTTGTATAATAGCATAGGTATTTTCGTATTATCTGCCAAGGATGCAATAGTTAGTATAATAACTAATCATCACAATTCACAATGCTACAGGAGGTTGAAATTTATACCAAATAATTTATTAAGAATTAATGTTCCTCTAAAATACAAAAGATGTACATTTTATAAAACTCTGGGCTCCTCATCACTAAACCTGCACCTCAGCCACCACACCATGGAAATAAATGCCTGTCTAAGCTTAGTGTTTCCCAGAATCAAGACATACGAGTGGCCGGAAGGGAAAGCAACTTCAGTAATAAAGAAAAGCAGAGAAACTGAATTTTTTAGTTCAGACTTAATGTCATAAAACTGAAAAAGAAGTGACAGAAAATAAATACTGTACAGTAACAAGAATGTGACCACCATTTGCAGGGCCTTTATGTGGGCTGCCTTGCTGATGTCTGTGGAGCCTGGGGCATTGTACTGCATGTTCTTCCGATGTCGCCATAGGGAAAAGATGAGCAGGAGAAACACCGTCAGGGTCACGGTGAAGGGGATGAGTGTGAACATAGTGCTGGTGAGTAAATCGAGCCTAACAGCTTCAGAATAATTACTTGTGATCACTCTGAAGAAAGTATTTGCTTCAATTCTGTCAATCCAGAGGTCAATATGTGTGTTTACAACTAAAATGTTTAAAAACAAGATGAGCAGAGATGCCAACAGTGTCCCTAAAACTACTTTTTTTACTCTCCACTTTAGATGAAGAAAAATAGAGTTGGAAAAATTGGCTATCTTGAGAAAATAGAAGATGCTGAGACATGTAGCAAGCCAGATACTGAAATGATTGGTGACTGTCCAGAGAATAAAAATTTGTCTCATAATCTTTCTAGTTATTATTATTTCTGGGTATTTTTCAGAAACAAATAAACTTGCAGTTAGTGAAAAGAGCAAGGCAACTCTGGAAACTGCCAGAGTAGTCAAGATCTGATCTATGAATGATATCTTTCTCCACTTTAACCAGTCCATAATGTTCACCAAAACTGTGAATGCATTGCCTAAATTTCCCATTAGAAATTCCACACTTAAAGTAATTAAAAATATGTAATACAGGACACCATTCATTGATTCCAAAATGATGTTCAGAATTTTACTATAGTACTAAATATTTCTGAATACAGTCTTTTGATGTATGTCTACCTGATTCTTGAAAATTTATAACATACAAATTAAATGTACTCATATATACAATATCAAGTAAACATCAAGATTTACTAATGAAGGGGTTTATAATATTCTTCACAAAAATCTTACACGTTGTAAGAAAACTCAGCTGATCTTCATCCAGATGCTTCATACCTTACACAAAGTGGATTGGAGTCTTTTATAGTTGATGCTGAAGAAAGCAGAATTCTTATGTACTGTCATCAAAACAAATAAATTTATTTTAATCGTTTTGACTGTTCACATATTAAATTTTAATCATTTAATTTCTGACAAGCAAAACTATAACATTCTAACTGACATAAAAACAAAGTATCTTAACTTCTATGCAACTAAAATTCCATTAAATATTTCAAAATGAAGGCAGTTAGGCACCTATACATATTTTTCAACATTCTTTCTACAAGAAAACATTTACCTAATAATCTTACATAGTTGGTTATACTTCAAATATCTTGGGCTGAGAAGACTTATAATTTTACTTTTAATACAGTCATATATGCATGCATACATATCCATATACCAATATATGATAGTTCATAAGTCTGTATTTATTTAGATCATAATTCCTTTTATTTCTGACATAAATAATTCAGGTTTATCATGTAATTAAAATTTATTGTTCATTTCACTTATGATTAGTAAATGATAGTTGTTAGGAGATGGTATAAAACTGCTTTCATTTTTAATCGATGCAATAATAATGTAAATATTCTAAAGACTTGGGACTATCTTATTCTCACATGAAAATAAATATAGAGTAATTCCTACTCTGTTACAAAGGAGAAATAAATTTACATGAATTCATTTGCACAACAAGAATCCTTTTCATTATTCATGTCTCCTACCTTTGTTAATGCATCTGATTCCTTCACCAGTATGAGCACTAGGCACTATTCTTGTCTCTCCAGTTTGCACTGACATTTGCTCCTATAATGTCACTGTAGACATCGAGGCATATAAAGGACAATACATAACCCAGGAAAGAAAAGGAATGGAGCAATGGGTCACAACATTCTTTAAAACCAAATGGGTAGTAAAAGAAGCAATAACACAAAAGAGAAGAATCAAAATAAGACAGCAGAAAAACATATGTCAAAAATTTTTGTGAACTTGGTCTAGTGGTGCACTGAAAGAAATTGGGCTAGTTGGTAAAACCTTGTATAAACATAACACTAACAAAAATGTTTAAATTGAAGGGAAAGCAAAGGTTATTGTAGTGAAAGATGGATTATAACTGGAAATTGGAGCAATAACGAACAAAGAAAGTAACAGAATTTCTAGAACAGAAACATTAACATACCTGAACACAGAAAGGTCCTCACAGGATGGCTATTTCCCCATAACAATAAGGCAGAAGACAAATGCAAACCACATTGAGGGTGAGGCAGTGTGGAGCAAGTGCTAGTACAAAAGCTTTAAGGCCTTTAGGAAAAGTGACAAAGCTTGTATTTATGGGAGGCAGTAACTCCAGCCCAGGAGCTTCCCTGAGCCCCTCCTCTCCATTTTCCACTCTGGAAAGAAAACATTTGAAATTCTACTGGAATAGCTGTAGCTGCTGAACTCTGTAGACCAAGTTGTTTTTCTCAGATGCAAAACTGCAACTGTATTAATAGCAGCAAGGTTGCTTTGAATGTCTCTGACACAGTTGTAGGAAAAGAGCCCAAACTCCTACTGAATTAATGTAAGGCACTCCTTCAAGAGAGTAGTAACCCATATTCAAGAGACACATCAGCAAAAACAGAGCTGCAGAACAAGCATAGTCTCCCATCCCAGCACAGGTCCTCAGCAAAGATTTAAGTCATGTGTTTATATATTCAGTCACTGTTTGAGTGGCACAGTCCATGAAACTTTTTTCTGTGTGAGACCTCAAATATCTAGTTTTTTATTTTCTAGTGAATATATTGTGTCACCAAGGATATCCTTCAAAAAGGAATAGGGAATAATATTCTTCCATGTTTACTTAAAATTACATAAGCTAATATAAGGGTATATGAACACAAATACCTACATGTATATAAGTTATAAGTATTAAACATACATACATCATATATATTCACACACATTCATATATATATATACATATATTTGCACATATATGTATATATATAAAACCCAGGACTATAAATGGGCAGATTGTTGCTTATAGGTGTCTACAAAACCCTCCCTCAAAAATATAGGATATTGTTCTTGTCCTTGGTTGACTCTCAATTACTGAAGGTAAGACTCTATTTCTACAGCCATAGATGTCCACAGAGAATGAAGGACTATAGTAAATCACCTTCTCACAAGGCCTTCTTCTATAAACTAACATAATTCCCTCTATGTCTATAAACTTCTCCTATCTATCCCCTTGTCTTATGAACACTGATTGCATTACATTACAGTTTTACCCGATGGTTTCATTTATACCTGTGGTGGATTAAATTAATGCAGACAAATTGTAATAAATATATAAACAACTTTAATGGAAAAATCAGACTCACAAAACCAAGGTTCCCAAGGAGCACAGGAAACAGGAAGGGGCGCGCGGCCTTCACATGCCCGATTTATCAGTAAACATTCGCCAGAGGCAAGCCTGCCAACGTAGAGGCTGGCCTAACCCTACATCTCCCCCTTTTGTCTAAATAAGACAGAACAAAACCAACTACAACTATAAACAATAATAACAAATAATAAATATAACAAACACTATAGAGAACAAAAGTTTTGCTAGACATTCTATCTCAAGGAGTCTAAATAATGTAGAGAGTACTACAATTATATAATCTTCAACTCCATCAAAGATCTGAGAAGGGAATAAATATTACTTAACAAATGAAAGAAATCCAAAATGTGCAACAAATGACAGAGACAACTGACTACCTGGGCAATCACCCAAATTCTCGTTCACAATATTGAGTCAACCAACTTTGGCTAAGGCCTAATATAACTGACATACCATTATTAAAGGAAAGGAACTTTCTTAGAACTATCCTACCCTGTCTTGGCAAGATAAGACAATCCTGTTTCATATCTTTGTCAGTAGTTGAGGTATGGGCTTTTCTTAACCCAAAGGCCAGTTCTGCCAAGAAGACAAGCTCCCAGTGGAGTGTCTTTGGTGCTCAATGTTCTCTCGGGAGTAGAGTGGCATTGCCAGGAGTAATTGTGCCTCGGCACAGAATTCTAGGTTAGATTAAAGGCCATTTTCTACAGCTCTTTCAAGAGGCTGAAGATTATACTATCTATACTAAATATAATCTCTATGTATCTAGAATACCTTATTAACCTAAAAATAAACATGACAAACATATAATTCTCAATAACTATCTAACTTGAAGACAAAAAGAATAAACAACTGTGCAATATATGAAGACAATGATCTTCACCTGTAAACAATGTCATTACATA